CTCTCTCTCTCTCTCTCTCTCTCTCTCTCTCTCTCTCTCTCTCTCTCTCTCTCTCTCTCTCTCTCTCTCTCTCTCTCTCTCTCTCTCTCTCTCTCTCAAAACTCTTGTTTTATTCTCTCTCTCACCTCCCATCGTCGTTGCTCCGCTGCTCCACCTTCTCCTTTGCTCCGCCTTCTCCGCTTTCTCCGGCGCTCCGCCCCTCCGCCTTCTCCGCTGCTCTGCCGCTCCGTCGTGCTCCGCCACCCCCTTGTGTCGCTGTTCCGCCAAAGCCTTGCGCCACGGCCATGTGCCGGCCGTCGTTGCTCCTCCCACCGCCTTAAACTCGGTACTAAACCATTCACTTCACATTTTGAAGTTTTTTTTTTTTTAATTTATGAATGCCCATCCATTTTTAATTTATTATTTTAAGATCTGAATTCTTATCACTATTTCACATTTTTTATTGTTTTTTTTTATGAAAACCAACTCAATTCGAAAATTTTAAATTTTTAAATTCAAAAATTCGAAAATTTTTGTTGGTGTATATGAATTTTGGGGTAAAAAGACAGTACATGACTACATATAAAACTATACATGACTATTGAACTTGTACTACACTGTAGTCATATATAGTATACTTTCAGTTCAGTAATTTTACCAAAATTTCAATTAATTAAAAAAAAATTAAATATAAAAAAATAAATTAAAAAATAATAAAAATCGAAATATTTAAAAAAAAGTATTTTATAAAAGGGGTAATGGCAAATAGACCCATGACAAGGGCACTTAATTAAAAGAGGGACATCCAACTTTTTTGTCTTTCAAATAAATCCAGCCCATTCAAACTTATTTGCAAATAAGGAAAATCCTTTTATATATACCAAAATTACCCCCAATTCATTGAAACCCAATTCAACTCCAATTTCATGATTTACACCCCAATTTAGCCAAATTTCATCAATTAACCAATTTTAACCTTAATTTCAATTTTGACCCCAATTTTGACCCGCCACCATCAGAGACCGCAGGCCGCCGCCGTTGACTTTTTTTTTTTTTTGAAAAACTTTATTTTTTCCTGAAATTTTTTTCCGGCCGGTCAACCGCCGTTGACCGCCGGTCTCCGGCGTTGACTTCTTTTTTATAATTTTGTTTTTTCTTAAAAAAAATATTTTAATTAATATTACTGTCTTGGCTGCTAAATTACGGTATCCGGCAGTTATTTAACTGTCGGAGACAGTGATTTAACTATTAATTGACTTTTTTTTTCTTCAAAAATATTTTAATTAATATTACTGTATTCGTTGCTAAATTACTGTCTCCAGCAGTTATTTAACTGTTGGAGACAGTAATTTAACCGTTAATTGACTTTTTTATTCTTAAAAAAAATATTTTTAATTAATATTACTGTGTTCGTTGCTAAATTACTGTCTCCAGCAGTTATTTAACTGTCGGAGACAGTAATTTAACTGTTAATTGACCTTTTTTTTTTTCTTAAAAAAATATTTTAATTAATATTACTGTCTTGGATGCTAAATTACTGTTTCCAACAGTAATTTAACTGTCTTAGACAATAATATTAATAATACTACTTTTCGGGAAAATAATATTCATAATATTACTGTCTGAGATAGTAATTTAGTAGCCAAAACAGTAAAATTAATTAAAATATTTTTTTTCTAAGTAAAAAAATATTCAAAAAAAAAAAAACAAAAGTCAACGCCGGAGACCGGCGGTCAACGGTGGTTGACCGGCCGGAAAAAAATTTCAGGAAAAAAAAAGTTTTCAAAAAAAAAAAAAAAAAAAAGTCAACGCCGGAATCTGGACGGAAAAAAAAACATTTCAGAAAAAAAAATTATTTTCTGAAAAAAAAAGTTTTGGGGGTTAATGTGATATATTTGTTTAAATTGGGGGTCAATGTGTAATATTAAGGAAGTTAGAGCATAATGGGTAGAATTGATAAGAATTATATTACTGAGGGTATTTTAGACTAAAGACATGGGGATGTGTTTAATTGAGAGACTGTTTTTTTAGTGAACCAAAATGCATTTAAGTCACATGTGATGGGCCTTTTTGCCATTCACCCTTTATAAAATATACAATGATAATAAAAACATGTACAATATATATACAGGAATAAATAAATTATTAAATTAAAAATTATGATATATGCAGTACAAAATACTAAATACAGGTCCAAAATGATAAGTGCAGTTGGTGAAAATGTTGAATGCAGTTGGGCGAAAATTGCAAATAAGGGCACAATAGTACTTTTGCCTCTCCGGGGGTATCTCAAAGGAAGATTTTTAGGGGTGGACCTATTCCTATATATTTTCCATATGCAGGGTGTATATCAAATGGTCCCAACAAATTATAGTATTACTCAGATAATAGGGCGTAACCTACTAACTTTAATGAATTAAATCATTATTATTTATACTTTGTCGATTGGGTCGAGATTAATTTGTAGCGCCCAAACCTTATTTGAAGGTAATTAGGCTTTCTTAATATTGTTCTTTTAAATCAGGCTCGTGACCCAGTAGATAGAGAAAATGTAGGTTTATTGAACTGGCCCAATTAGACATATTATTTCATTATTATAAAAACTAGCAATTATTCCCGTGCAATGCACGGTTAGCATTGCGAAAATGAAGAAAATTTACATATATGATAATTAAATTGTGATAAAAAAATTATACTATATTAAAATAATTAATTGTTAAATTTAAATTACCAAAATAAAGTTAATATTTCTACAAATATCATCATACAAATCCCAACAAAACACGTCAATATAATCAAGTCACCTTACTTCCATTTAGTTGTTATACGTAAGAAATATTAACCACAAAATAAATTGTTTAAAAAAAAAAAAACTATATGGGAGTGGATTAGAATTTTGCTAGCCAATTTAGAAATCTAAGCAATGAAAGTCATTAGAGTAAAAAAATGTTGGAAAATAAGAGATAGTAATTAATTTTAATTTTTTTACAAATATGCCATTAGGGTTTCATAGGCTGCCCTATCTAGGGATGGCAACGGGTCGGTTTTGGGCCGGGTTTGTCTAAACACAAAACCCGACCCACGAAAAATATATAAACCCAAGACCCGCCCCAACCCGCTTTAGCTTAGATCCAGACCCACCCCAACCCAGACCCTAACTAAACGGTTCTCACCCCAACCCAGACCCTAACTAAACGGTTCTGACCCGCCAGACCCGCTAGACCCATTAACATACAAAAAGTTTAATATATTTTTTTTTTAAACTTTATTAACATTTTGCTTGTATATTTTTACGAGATAATCTCAATACTAAAATACAATATTTAAAAAAATCTCTAGTGACATAACATGAACAATAAAATTACAATTAATTATATTTAACTTTGATAATAAGTAAAATTCAAAATGCAAGACAATTAGCGGTGGTCGACAAGTGATAAATTTTACTCACGAGAAATGAGTCGAAAAATAAAACAATGAAAATAGGTAAATGAGAATAGACAAGACGGAAATTCAAATTTATATATATATATATATATATATATATATATATATATATATATATATATATACACACACACACACACACACACACGCCATCCCTAGTCCTATTGTTTCTTACTTTTATATATAAGATGGGTCTGTTAGCGAGACCTCCTCATTATTTTTTCTAATAGTACTCGACCTACTTTGTTATTTGTATTTGAGAGACCCCATTAACTTCTCATAACACCATTTTACCTTTAAATTATTTCAATTCCCCTCCCTTACCCACTACATATATATCCTTCTATTTTCTATTTTTTAAATAAATTTATTTTTTAGTAAATTAACTTTTAATTAATTCATTTATTTTAATAAATTTGTCCTTTTTTTGGGGCAAATTTACCACAGTGTAAACAGCTACAAATTGCAATAATCAAATACAAATTGCAATAATGTACTACACATTTCAATCCGACTACAATTTTTAACAAAAACAATTATAAAAACACCTCAATCCAACTACAAATTTTAGCAACCAACTACAAGCTACAATCTATAGCACTCCACTACAATTATCGAAAACAACTACAAAATCATTAAAACCAACTACAAAATCATCGAAACCAACTACAATATATTGAAATCAACAACAATATTATCAAAATCTACTTTGAAAATTTTCGAAATCAACTACAAATCATTGAAATCAACCAAAAAAAAAACCTAATTTGCGAGAGCGTCGGAACTAGATCGCCCATTTATCGCCGCCGGAAACAACTAAATGAAATATACGTAAAATCAGCAAAAATCCTACGGCGTTTCAAATACAACGATGAGCCGCCGGAGAAACTCCTCCACCGCCACTCCCCAATTTGGCAACCTCCTACTCCTCCAATCACTAGTGCCATGCCTCGAAGTCCGCCTATGAAATCTTCTCCCAGTGCCGCCGCTGCTCTCCGGTTGTTGTGGAGGGTGATGAAATTGATGTGGCTGCGGCAGCTGGGATTGAGGCTGGTGAGCGGAGTGGCGGCGGCAGAGGAATTCGCGGCGGCGTTTTGATTGAGGGAGAACGCTAGTTTCTGAAGAGAAGGGACCTAAGGGAGGGTTAATAGGAGGAAATTGCTTTGGATGTTGTTGTTGCTGGTTGAAGATGAGTAGTTCGTCTGGGTGCTGGAAAATAAACATAGTATTTTTAGTGTTAAAAAAATTAAAAAGGATAAAACAAGATTAACTAACGAAGGTATGTCAATTCATAATATCATATGAGGAGATGTGCCAAAATGCAAAAAAGCGTAATTGGACGTGCAATATTGATAAATGTGTTTTGACGGGTTCTCCCTAATTAACCCATAACAAAATATACAATATCTACTTGTGTTAAAAACACATTCGGGCCGCCACCCCTAAAACCCAAAATATATTATCATTTCTTGGTTCCACCACGCCATTGATGAATCACTAAAATTCAGAACACCCTTAACTCAAATTTTGAATTCAGTTCACTTCGACAACTAGCGCACGATTATATTAAATGGTGACTTTCACTGATTGTACCATAAAATATATTAGTTTCATCAATAGTCCGATATTTAACTTTACAGACAACATATTATCGGTACACAACACCGGTTTCTTGCTATTAGCTCCACAAAGGCCGAATCAGTTCTAATTCCAGGTGAAAAAAATGGACATAAACCGATAAAAGGCGCTATCTATCGATAATTACAGTAAGGACAGCCGACACTAATTCGTATATGCAGTAGTATTGTTTGTATTACATATTAGTACAAACAAGCAGAAAAAAACTTATAAAAGCCCAAGTCTCAGGTATATATGATGCTCTTCATCATTCATTTAGCTTTTCCCTACTTGTGTTTGTGTCTCTCCTTTTCAACTTGAGAGATTTCGGTCTAACCACAGCCTGCTTCGGTGGGGCCCCCACTAATAGCAAACGCGACATAACATAGGACAAAAGTTCCTCTCGATTCGAGAAAGTGAAGTCCAAGTGCGCATACTCGAACTCACTGTACGAAACGTCCACCCCACCATCTTTCATCACCTTGTAATGCTTCCTCACCATCGACGGCTTTATCACCTTATCCTTTATTCCGGCAACAAGATCGACGGGCACATCAATAAATCCATAGTACTCCCCAAGATCGAACGCCTCGGGGCAACCATAAGCTTCCATGTTCGCGGCCGCGCTTCCGTAATCGAACATGATAAACTTCTTCGCGCGCTTCATCTGCGCCAGGTGGAGGGCCACTCGGAATGCGACACCTGGCATGTCGTTCATATTGTAGTGGGGCAAACCCAACACCCCGACCCAGTTCGAACTGTCACCCCCGACAACGTAACTCATGAGCGTCTGTACCAATCCACCAACTGCGGGTAAGTTGTGGAAGTCACGAGCCAACTTATTTAGCAGCATGCGGAAAAACCTTGTGGGTATGTAGAAAGCTGGCACGAACGGTGCTAAGGCAGGAGCTAGAAAGAGAAACAAGTACTCGACCGAAGTGAACATGAAGCTGGAATCGTGGTGGAAGCCAGCTGGCGATAGGAGGATCATTCTTGATAGCCTGTGGGGCTTTTCGGCTATTCGACGTGTTATGACGTACATTAGTATGCCAGCTCCGCCCAGGCTGTGGCAAATTGCGCAGATTTTGTACGGTTGTTCGGTGGTGATTTCTTCCTCTGGATCGGTTTGGTTGGACTTCAATTCAGAAACTTTAATTTCGTGTATCTTTTCTATCATAGCTGGTATATCTTCAGTTCCATGCTCGTTGATTGAGTAATTCCAATATCTGCAGCGGGTCGGTGTAGTAAAGAAACTTAAATATAACAAAAATGGAATATACGGGAAGTTAAAGAATGGAAAGTTAAGCCATATCAATTGACCCCGTATGAGGCCGATTATAATGTCCACAATTGTAAAATTCTATTAACTTATCAATGGTAACCCATTAAGTCTCCTTTTTAAATTGAACGATTCGTTGAGGCGCAATATATCCAAGAGAAAGAAGTCAAATACAAATCTTTTTTGTTACGCGACACTTAAATGCACTTGGCTGTTTAGATACTTACAGAACTTGAACGGAAAATTTATTATACGTGACGTGGTCATTTCATTCATGCATGTGACTTTGTTGTTAATATGTTATTGGTTGCCATAAAAACAACTCAATTGAACTTTTCGGCCAAGTATTCAATGCGAAAAAAGGAATCATGTCAAGCATCTTATTAAAGATTATGAAATTAGCTACTTACTGCCGTGATGAGATATTTTTGTCGACATGTTCTCTCGAAACCAAGCCACGGAAATTCCCAAGAAAAACATCGTATCCTAGAAATTGAAGGAAAAAAAGTTACTTACAGAATCAACAAGTTCGACTCTCAAAAGTTGATGCACTATACGTACACTACAGACAGTAAAAAAAGCATCCGGTACTAACCTTGATCAAAGGCTGCAAAAGCCGGAGAACCAACAACTCCATTGGACACCCAACTGTAAAATCAGCTACTAGTGTTATAAAACAAAAAAAATATGATTGCCATGCAATACAAACATTCAAAAAATTCAAGAATCAGAAGATGGGAACAGGATCATCAGTTGTTAATTGCTAATTGCAAAATGCAGTCAGTGGTCAATGCAAGTACAAATACGAGATGCTCGTTCGAGACTCCATTTTAGAAAACTAATTGGTAATAAAGATCAACTTATGAAATCTCAAAGCTTAATACATCATGATTCGACCCACCTCAGATACTAATGCAATTACAGGTTGTTTTGTTTCCCATAACACCTAAAATTCTTTCTAGTCTCGAGACATAACTTTAATCATCATCAATTTAGATCAGTGACCTCTATCCTTTACATGACTGATTATCAAGCTATTCCGAAATCAGGATACAAGTTGGAGATATAGACAATTGATTTGAAACGAGACTCGGGTTTTCTTTCTCCCAGTTTCTAACCTTAAGAGCGAGAATAAGATTGGACAACAAGACCTACTGGATAAACTCACCGGCAGAAATATGCTCCCGTGTTATATATCAGTTCAGAGAGAGAACTATTACATTGACAAATCGAGAATTCCCACAGGCAACTATTTCACTGTTCCAGACATAAATGGAATCTTGATTTAACTACTACATGTATCCCGTTTAATGAATCTCAAGTAAAGGCGGTAGCATGAAAACTTCTATGTCAGTGCCAACTCTTACTAGAAAACTTCAAGAACCATGCCATAACATGTCCGATGTGATTTAACATGTCATCAAGGTCAAATTTGTTCGAAGGGGAACAACTTCTGACAGTTAAAATAATCCTCAGAACTATGTCCGAACAATAATATACAAATAAATGGCATACTGTATTTCCCCCAATGTACTTCCCAAAAGATGACATAATCATTCCTAAAAATGCATCCTCGAATTTATAGCTGAACTGATCTTATAATGTACTGATGACAACCATAATAAGATTTAGATTGGAACTTTTGAAAGAGTATCGCAACAAATTATGAGTGGACCAGAAATAAAATACATTTACCAAAAGTTGCAAGACGTCCTTCCTCTAACAAGATAGAAACCAAATGGATTTTTTTATTTAAATAATACCGCCCAGTGCCCACTTTGAAATTTCATTAACCAAGATTCCCATCCATTATTGGGCATCAACTAGATGATAAATAAGTAAAACAACTGAAAACAAGATTCATTTTCGCACCGACTTTACACTACAAGTGATGAAAGACAGGACTCACCCCATAGATGAATCTAATATTCCATGCTGCAGATAAACAACTTTCCGAGAATCTCTCCTGCATCAACGTTCGTTCAATTGATAGAATGTCGATTTACAATTTGCTACGAAGCAAAACTTCAACGTCGATTTACTTAATAAGAGAACCAGACAACTGATGGTTTTAATGAGCACATACCTTGGGATCCTTTCCAGCAGAAGTACATAACCATCGGCTGTAACCACATGGATAGCTTCATAAGGATACCTAAAACAAAAGGATCAATTAGAAACCTACTTGAACAAGCAGATTGATAGAGTGTGAGATAATACAAAAAGAGAGAGGAGGAATTTGATTCATAGCTTGACATAGTACGAAAAAAGATCTCACATCGTACATTTACACCAAAATCTTATTTATTTTGGTGGCGAAGAGGTGGGCCTGCAAAAATTTAAGTTCCTAATATATATCTGAAGTTTGAAAAGGTTTACCAGCCAAGAGTAGTCATGAAAATCCAGAGAAAATTGATTTCAATATTCCGTACGTTTTACTTGAAAAGGCATTCAATACCTCAACCAAAGAACAAGTACTTTAACTTTATATAAAGCATTTTTTTTTCCAGTATACTCACCGACCTAGAGCATCAACACATAGCGCTACATATCCTGTGCAATCAAGAATGGCAGAAATGGTGTAATAAAGTACTCCAAGCATGGCTAGACCCAAGATTTCTTATGCAGAAGAATTCAAGGAAAATCCAAAACAGAAGAACTCTTGTTTTCAAAATTTAAATTTGTGATTATACTTGACTGACGACAAAGCTGCCATTACTACTTAATTGTAGTGGTTTAAGTCCATTCCTAACAACTACTTAACACTATTCTGAATTTTCACTTCTTCTCCCCAAGACAATCATTAAGTCAATTAAACAACTACAATGACTTTCAAGCATCTCAAAGCAACTGTTTTACTGCAATCGACCACAATTGACTGAAATAATTGAAGAATCTAGACTTTTCCACAGTACATGAAACCAAAAGGGCGAAATTAGCTCAGAAGACATAAAATATAATTGAAGTTTCATACCCCAGTTCTGTTATCACATCTTGACATGTCCGAGCATCTGTATTGAGGGAATTGTGGAAAGTCGTTCTCCTTTCCAAAGGAGTTGGATCATTATCCGACAGAACAGATGTGGAGACGGAGGTGACAAAACCCTCAGAAGGAATATCCTCTTGACTATTGTTCTGAGAAGAAAACCATCCAAATAGCCTTCTAATGGTGTCTGCCGGTGCTAGAAGACAGTACGCCGCCTTGTGAACAACGTCAAAAGCATATTCGATGGAGATCTCAGTCGCTAGGTGGAGATCCTACAAACATAAGAAATGTTATCCTTCACATATGTACTTGAATGCAACACATAGATCATGCAGTCTTCCGTAGACATTTTCTTTTTACATATTTAATCCACTTCATGCAGTGTCTTGGCGGCATATGTATGTTTTCCTTGTGAAATTCATGCTTCTGTGTATAAACTTTGCATGCATCCGTTATTGGTTTTATCATGTCTTATTTTGCGCACAATATTTTGTTTAACTTTGAATCACAAGAGAGAATTGAATAGAGAAAAAGGACAAGATGATGTGGTCGAGCCATTTGGCCTACATATAACATAATTCTCTCTTAGTGTGATATTATAACGAGTGCCTACTTCTATAGATGAATAACACATGTGATGAAACAAAAAAAAAAAGAGAGAAAAATAATTCTATAACCAAATCAAGAATACCAAAAAACATGGATACATACATTGATGTGATCTCAAAAGAGAATCAACAATTGATTTCCCATCACATAGTTTGCTTACTCATCAATCTGTTGGAGGTTATTATAGATCTCATTTCGGCTTTGAAGTGCATCTAAAAAACATGCATCTAGATATGAGAGGATGTAAATGGATATGGAAACAGACCTCAACAACACCACGTCTGCGATCAGTAGCCCGTTGAACAAAATGGTCTTTAAGGGTTTGCCGTCTTCTAGGGGAATGTGCAGTCGAAGGATGGAGGTTTCCTGGCCTTGCAAAGGCTTTGGAAGCTGTATGAGAAACTGAAGTAAAGAGATAAAGTGGAATCCCAAAAAGGAACTTCACTGGAAACAAAAGCCACGAAATAATACATCCAATCCAATATATCCAACTCCGATTGAGCTTGGAAAAACTGCTCTCCCTCGAGAATCGGGAACTTTGTGATAAAGGAGTTCCAGGATAATTATCACTATCTTCTCCATCAGATGAATAATCTACACTTGACGATGTATCGGAATCAACTGAGAGTTCATGAATGAACTGATTGAAAGATGATACGCCACTGCAATCATAGAGAAGAAAATATTATAAACTTAACATGTCAAGCAGGGTCATTGGCAAGTTCTTAACAGAGAAATAAGCTGCGATGCGTTCCAAGTGTTGTAAACTCTGCCAAAACTTTAGCATACACTGGATAAATAACGAAAGATGTGTGAAGATAAATGAACATGAGTAGGTAGCTGAAAAAATCTATTGGGCATTTTCACGTCACTGTATACGCATGTAACTAACAAACGAAATTGTATTGATGATCGGATTCTAATGGAACTATAAAAGTACTCCGCTAACAGCAGCACTCAAGTTACGTGAGTAAAACATTCACTGAAGGAAACCACAGATGTTGAATGGATTGCCATATCTACGTCAGAGAATAGAAGAAACACACTTGGCCTTTCACCTGACTGTGTTACACTATATTAAAGGTACGTTATGCATAAAGAATGGAAACTTGTTTTCTCTTAAACCGAACATATTTTCTATTATTTTCTACATTAATCTACATATATACATATTCTTGTCCGAAATAACAGAAACTTGTTTAAAAGAATCAAGAAAGGTTAAATTGAAAAAGGGAACATCTTTAGTCACTATCCACCATGGAATACACTGCCAGGAACTAACACTACATAAGCATATGTAAATGCTTGAAAATTGAGGACCCAATGACGTTACAAAAAGGCCAAAAAGCAAAATGTTTACCCCCAAATTGGTATATTTCAGAAGTTCTCGTCCTGTGGTTGCAATATTCCAACTAAAAGTCACTAGCTCCTAAGAGTCCACAAATTCAAACCAACTATTTAACTAGTTCCAAATATAAGCCTACACTCATATATTAATGCTGTAGATGTTAACAGTATAATGAAGTAAAACCTGTATAGTACCAAATATAACGATCATAATTCCAATAAAACTTCGGTACATAAATATTAAGATGAGTAACTTAAGACTTAGATAAGCAAACTTACTTCTCCATCCAGCGTGGAAGTCGAGGTCCACGCAAAGTAGGCCTAAGCTCCCAACCATGAATGCCTTCAAGAATTGATGCCTTTCCAGGCAAGATAGCCAATAACATTGCTGATATTCCATTTATTAATCTTACAATATTATTCAGTGATTCATAAGTGAACGTCTTTACCGACCTGCCAAGTATATCAACAGGGAAAAGAATAAAGATTTTAATAATTCTTGGTGTATTATAAACCCTTCTTAAACACAGATAATACATGGAGTACATATAATTCATCGAAATAAAACATCAATTATATGCCCACGTGTAAAAAAGATATCATAAACAAGTTTGTTAAAACCCTTCACTGTGCGTTGTATTCTTTTTCTCTTTATAGAAGATTCCAGCTCTTTTAAGAAATGAAATGAAATGAACTGTTTTTCTTACTCAGTAAGGGTTTTCTTCATCAGCTTCTTTACATAGACATGCTATATTATTTATTTTTTATGAATATAAAACAGCTAATCAAAATAAGTATCGACAATGCTAATAACATGGAGGAAAGAGATTATTTTTGCCTTTCCAGGGAGGTCCAGATCTTAGAAACACAAAATCACTTCAAAAGTACCTAAAATATAATAGTCTTATCATCCCCATATGAACGTTCTCACATGAACATGCACGGAGTTTCCAATAAGTAAGATAAAAGCTGCATGTTTCAAGCAAAATATTTTTTAACCCTAAAACCAATCTTCACCTATGACATCAAACGAAGTAGATATCTTTGTGAGTAGCGTATAAGTATACTCACAAAGAGAACATTGCATCCCGACATGGAGTAAAGAAGAGCAGTAAAGAAATGGACAAAGAGTATGTACAAAATGCACAAAGTTTGCCCATTTAATCTTGTCGAAATTAATAATGTAATCCAAATGAAGTGTAAAAGAGAGTGGTCCATGTGCAACTATATGCAAAACAAAAACCAAAATGCATTCCCTCAACATCTCTTCCTTTGATTTCCCTTGCACGGAAGTCCCGATTAAGTGTCACAATACAATAGAATTTAAAGTTTATATATAATATTATGCGTGTGTGTGATCGGTGCCATTATAGAAGTCCTCACCCGATAGGAAATAAATTTAGAGTGGTTTATGAAATATATCTTCACGCATCGAGGAAGGATGGCGATTGGTTGCTAGAAAATATCATTGCCGGTATTTTGGGTTACGAAAGAAGCATGACAAAAAGAGAAAAGAAAGAAAAGGAAAGTGACGTTGTGACATTTAGAAGTAGTTGCAAAGTGCTACTTTAACAACGTCCTATCATATTAAATTGTACAAGGAACGCGACAAGAATGTGACACGTCCAACAAGAGCAAGAACACATTCCCACATTGGTTGACATAAAATTCGGTAGGCCTTACAAATTGGTGCTTGTCTCTATCTATGGGTCAATCATTTTGAGAAGTAAGACTAAATGCCCAATCATATCCCTTCCTCGTCGACAAAGGCACGACATCCTACTTTATTAGGAAAATAAAATATTACTCCTTATATTCGTTTCTAACTGCAAAGGCTTGAAGGAAGTGAAATTGAATTCACGATTCGATAAATCTATCAAAATAGAAATTTGCCAGTTGTTCTTCCGTGCACTGTCTCTCGCTTAATTCGTCGAACTAGGGCGACCAATGGGGAGTTTATCCAATTTAGGAACTTCTAAAAATACCTATTCCTCGTGTCTTTTTTTTAACTGCACGAGTTTTTTTAGGAATTAGGAACTTTGGGAGGTGAAATTCTTGAAAAATGTATCAGTGTTTCAATAAACACCAACATTATCGACAATTCATCGAGAAAATAAGAACGAAAAAAATAAATTAGAAATAGCCATTCATTCAAACACATGGGAGTAACACAATTTCAAATAATCCTTGAGAAATTCAATAAAGTAAAATCTCTCCAAACAAAATAAGCTAATTAGCATCCCAGGAGAAGAAAAAAAAAACTATTTCCTCAATTAGGGGAAAAAAAGAAAGATTGATAAACTAAATAGGCAACTGCTCAAACACATAACGATCATCAGCAAACCTAACATTTTACATTATAAATTAAAAAAATAAATTAATTAATTAGTTCGAGAAAAAAAGAAGGAAGACGACTCACTCTTTGGTGACAGCCAGAACATTGTCAACAGCCCTTTGCATCGCTCTCGCTGTATTCTTTTTCCCTCGTTTTCTACATATAATAATAATTTGTTTCTATTGAACCCAAAAATAGCAGCAGATCAGCTTTTGACTTATAATTTCTAGAAATAATAAACGAAAAAAAAATTGAGAAGAAGGAAGGATAATAGGGAATTGAAAAAATGGGAAAGAAGACAAATAATCAATCAATGGAGTTTTTGTGCTGCGACGTCGATTCTTGTCTTCCGGGTTAAGGCAGAGGTCGGTTACTCGGTTGCTTTTGGAGTCGGGTCGCTACAATATTTATTTATATTTAATATTTGTATGAAATGTATGAATATCAAGTGTATCCATTTGTGCCTTGCTTTTTCTCTTCTGCTGACGTGCCCATCGCACAGTCGGTTACCCAAAAAAAATATCTTTCTTTATTCATTTGGAATATCGGTACTTGTAATGTTTTTGTTCAGGAGGATTATATTTCTCAATCGATTTTAGTCGTGATAGGAATGATAATTTAATCCGCCCCATCGCGTATTCGTTCCGCCCCGTGCTAGATTTACTGGGTAATTCCCACTCTATTAGCTAATTCTACTTGTGCAAGATCAAATTAAAGAAATATTTTATTTTATTAAGATGAAATGATAAAGATGTCCATAAATTAAATTAGATTTTGTTTGCTTATGCAAGACCAAATAACAAATAATGAAAAAAAAACAAAAAACGAAAAGAAGAAAACAAAAAAAAAGTGAAATTAAAAAAAAGCTAGCAACACCCGGAACAGGGTGAATTTTTTTCCTAACGGGGCGGCTGCGGGTTTTCCAAAACTCGCCCCATGGCCATACCTAATTGAGTATTTGGCACACATTGTGTGGCATAACGGTTGGTTCTAGAGAGTTGAATTCGTTAACTCAGTTTGACTTAAAGTACCAACATTTTTAAGTCGAGCTCCACACACATGGTCAGTGGTACCCCCTTAGACGGATACATCGACTATAACTCGAGTGTGGTCGAGTTATAGTTGAAGTGGTGCCAAGAAGTGTTGGCACAAGGCATGCTACACATGGGCCAAACGGGGGCCGAAAGATGGGCAAGTATTGAGGTTCTTGGCCGAGAACAACAAGGCAAGGGTTTCGAGTGAATGGCAAGCATTGAGGTGCTTCGCCGCGAAAGGCATGGCAAGTGTGGGCAAGGCAAGCGGGCTGAATAGCACGCGTGTGGGCAGAATCGATCCTTAAGCGCACGCGCGCCGATTGGGCACGCCGGGCACCTAATTGACTTGGGAAGTTACGGAAGGCAGATGCGGAGCGGTTGGCATCAGCAATGACTTAGAAACCGTCCATTTTATGTTGTATTAGTGAGACACGTGATTGGCCTGCGTGCCGGCGTGTGGCCCTTGGCAGTTTAGTGTGTAAACTGCATTGTACCTTGTATTTATAGGCCATTGAGTGCACAAATCCGACCCATTCAGATAGAGGAACTCAGATTGCAATTGTTAGCATCTGTTGTGAGGATACGTTGTGTGCACCAAGGGCTTTCCTTGTTTTATTCGTGAGTGAATCAATAAAGGTTGAGCGGTGCTCGTAAATTGCTTGTGTTGTTCGATTTCCGCTGCATACTTGTGATTGTTGATGTTTATTTGATACAACGATGGCGCAATACGTTTGTGTGAAGAATTGTTGAGTGGGCTGACTGATTTAGTGAGTAAATCAGGCCGTACGGTGGCAAAAATTTTGATTGGAAATTAACCCCTGTAACAGTTGGTATCAGAGCCCGGTTCTCGGGTTCTGAACGGTGTTCTTCGACATGGAAGATCCGGGTTCTTCCTCAATGATGAATCCTACGCGGGCAGCGTTGCTCGATTTGGAAGCGAGATTGCAACGTCTTGAGACTCTTGTTGGGCCGCCCATTGATCCGAGAGCAGCCCCTATTCTCCAACAACTTGTTGATGGGCAACAAGCGTTTGAACGGATATCCAAATCTATAGCTGATCTATCAGAATCTGTGGTGTCTAGGATGACAAGTGCTGCTGAAGATCTCGGGTTGCTAAGTGATGCGCTTGAAGCCAAGTTTGAGGAATTTTTGACGGATTTGGCTGTAGTGAAGCGTGCGATTCGTGAGGGGAAGTCGAGTGCTGTTGAGGGCAAATCGTCGTCGTCCAAAGTACGGGTGCTTGAACCTGCTACGTTTGGTGGTGCACGTAGCGCAAAGGAGTTGGAAAACTTCCTTTGGGACATGGAGAACTATTTCCAGGCAGCAAATGTGTCTAACCAAGAGAAGGTGACCATTACAAGCATGTACTTGTCGGGTGGTGTGAAGTTGTGGTGGCGAGCACGTCTTTCCGACTATGCTACTACCAATCGGGACAAAATTGAAACATGGGAAATGTTCAAGAAGGAGTTGAAAGAACAATTTATGCCTTGCAACACGTGTTGGTTGGCAAGGGAATCCCTACGTCAATTGAAGCATAAGGGGTCCGTTCGTGAGTACGTAAAGGACTTCAGTTCCTCTTGATGCTTCAAATTAGGGATATGTCGGAGGAGGACAAGATCATTAACTTCATGGTTGGTTTGCAACCTTGGGCACAATCTGAGTTGCGAAGGCAAGGCGTGAAGGATCTGCCGGGAGCAATTGCCGCTGCAGATCGCCTTGTTGATTATAAGACGGTTGGTGCCAAGGATGCTGAAAATAAGGAATCCGGGAAGGATAAGGGCAAGACCAAGAAGTTGGGTGGAAAGTTTGGCCGAGATGGGAAATTCAAAGGCCAAGAAGAATTTCGAGAAGCCCACGGGAACGGCCAAACCCGCGGGGCAATTGTCGTTAACAAGGAAAACATGTTTCTTGTGTAACGGTGACCATCGAATGAGGGACTGCCCTAAACGAAGCAAATTGAATGCTTTGGTGCTGGAATCGGATGGAGACAGTGATGACCCTAAGCAAGTCAACCCCATCCAGTTGCTGAGTGCCTTGACGGTCGAGAAGGTACCTAGCAACCCCAAAGGTTTGATGTATGTCGAAACTTTGTTGAACGGTAAGAAAGTGATGGCCATGGTGGATTCGCGTGCAATGCACAACTTTGTTTGTCGTTCGAGAGATTGGAAAGCTGGATATAATCTCTCACAACATGCAAGTAGAATTAAAGCCGTGAATTCAGAAGCTAAGCCTGTGAGGGGTGTGACCAATGTAGAATTGTGCATTGGTCCTTGGCATAGGCAGTGCTCATTTACTGCCATACCACTAGACGATTTTGACGTGATTTTGGGGCAAGACTTTCTGTTGTCGGCCCGTGTTGGTGTCATACCTTTCCTGAGTGGATTGTTGTTCATGCGTCCCAGTTGTCCATGTTTCGTGAAGGGAAAGTTCGTGGAGAAGGCCAAAGAGAAGAAATCTGAGGGCTTATTGTCGGCATTGCAACTAAAGGCAGGTCTAAGACATGGTGAGCTAACCTGCCTGGCTGCACTGGTCGAAATCAAGCTGGATGTGTACCAAGAAGTGTCGGATGCAGTTGCTGAATTGCTGGCTAAATTTGAGGATGTGATGCCTCCTGAATTACCGAGAGAGTTGCCGCCTCGGCGAGCCATTGACCATAAGATTGAGTTGAAACCGGGGGCCAGGCCGCCAGCACAAGCACCGTACCAGATGGGTCCTTTGGAGTTGGCTGAACTTAGAAGGCAATTGGATGATTTGCTGAGTGCGGGTCTCATGCAACCTTCCAAAGCTCCTTATGGGTCGCCGCCAGAAGAAGCAGGACGGTTCAATGAGGGTGTGTGTAGACCATCGAACATTGAATAAGGTTACTATAAAAAATAAGTATCCTATTCCTAATGCGCTGGATCTTTTCGACAAGTTAGCAAGGGCACGTTTTTACAAAAAAAATTGATCTTCGGGCTGGATATTGGCAAGTTTGTGTGGCACAAGGTAATGAGGCAAAGACAACTTGTGTGACGAGATATGGATCGTATGAGTTATTGGTTATGCCTTTCCACTTAACCAATGCTCCCGCAACTTTTTGCAACCTCATGAATGATGTGTTGTACGAGTTTCTTGATCGTTTTGTGGTGGTATATCTTGATGATATCGTGGTTTATTCTGAATCATTGGGCGAGTATGTTGGGCATATGCGGGCTGTATTCTTGAAGTTGAGGGAGTACAAGTTGTATGCCAAGAAGGAGAAGTGTGATTTCTGTCGGGAAGAAATCTCATTCTTTGGCCACATTATTAGCCAAGGAAAGATCAAGATGGATATGAAGAAGGTACGGGCTGTGACTGATTGGCCCGACTCCTTCGAAAGTGGCTGAGTTGCGTTCGTTTTTGGGTTTGGAAAACTACTATCGAAAGTTTATCAAAGGGTAATCAAAGATCGTGAATCCTTTGAAGGATCTTTTGAATAAGGATTAGAAGTGGGAATGGACTTCAGATTGTGATAGTTCGTTTGAAAAATTGAAGGGTGCTTATATCTTCGGAACCTGTACTGAAGTTGCCAGAGTTTGAAAAACCGTTTGAATTGCAAACGGATGCTTCTGACCGTGCTATTGGGGGTGGGTTGGTGCAAGACAAGCATCCCGTTGCCTTTGAAAGTAGAAAGTTGAAAGATGATGAGATGTGATACACTACTCATGAGAAGGAAATGACGGCAGTGGTGCATTGTTTGGATGCTTGGAAGCATTACTTGTTGGGTACGGAGTTTGTGGTTGTCACCGACAATGTGGTAAACACATACTTCAAGAATCAAAAGAAATTGTCGCTGAAACAAGCAAGATGGCAAGAATTCTTGGGTGAATTTGATTTCGAGTGGGTACATCGACCGGGAAAGCATAACGACGTGGCTGATGCATTGAGTAGGAAAGTCGTTGAATCCTACGTTACTGCATTGACTCTTGTGGAGTCTGATTTTCTTGAAAGGGTTCGAGAGGTAGCCAAGACTAATTTGGTCTACCAAAACATGGCTGAGCAAGTACGGGCTGGACAAATTCGAAAATATTGGCTAGAGTATGGGTTGTTGTTTGCTAAGGGTGGCCGTGCTTATGTGCCAAGCAGCTCCCTTAGGCCTAACTATTGCGGGAAACACATGATCCGATGTGGGTCGGTCATCCCGGAATTGACAGAATGTTGGCCCTTCTAGCACGATCGTACTATTGGCCAAAGATGGAGTTTGACGTTGAGGCATACCTCAAGACTTGTCTAGTTTGTCAACTAGACAAAACTGAGAAGAAGAAGGAGGCCGGTCTATTGAAGCCTTTGCCCATTTCGGAGAGGCCTTGGCAATCGGTTTCGATGGACTTTGTATCGGGATTTCCGAA